TACGAAAGAAATTGGTGCAAAAGACACATGTGCCTACTGTAAAAAAGAAGGACATACGAGGGATGATTGCTGGAAACTCAAGAAGAAAACTGAGAAGACCACACATCCTGGTACACAACACAAAGTCTCCGCTTGTACGTCTCGTCATACATCTGGAAACACATTTTCAAAATTCAAGAGTTTTTGCTCTCCAGATGTCCATACAAACTTCAAAGAGGTTTGTCACGACTCATCAAAGAGTTCCATTATGAACAATAAGGCTAGTTTTACTGACTCCAGCCAAGTTCCTGCTTCGACTGCGAGTTTTATGAGCTTGTCGCCAAGATCCTTTTGCTCCAAGAAGAGGTCTACCTCCAGAGGGCGTTTTACTGAGGACTTGTGTGCAAGTTTTGACGACTCTACCCAGAGTTTTACTTCCTCTACCCTAGCCGAATGTTCTCAAGACTCCAACAAGAGTTTACCTACCAAGGTCCAAAATTCTACATCAGAAACTACTGATGTCATACAAGACTTCATGCCTTTCATATCGGAAGGATTCGTATCACTGCCAGGTGATTTTTCCAGTCTACAACCAATCAAAATCTTACGAGATACAGGTGCTTCACAGTCCTTGCTACTTGAGGGTATACTTCCCTTGTCTGAATCTACTGCTACTGGGAGCAACATCCTGTTACGAGGTGTAGAGCTGGGATGCATAGATGTACCTTTACATCTCATCAACCTAAAATCAGACTTAGTCTCCGGACCTGTGGTTGTGGGTGTCCGACCAACATTACCATTGGACGGCATCTCGTTGCTGCTAGGCAATGACTTAGCTGGTGGGAAGGTGATAGCCGAGCCCATCGTTACTCATGAACCTTGTTTAAATGAAAATCAGGAAGAAGATCAAGAATTGTATCCAGCATGTGCTGTGACAAGGGCCATGAGTTCCAAGATCTCCACAAAAGAGATTTCACAAAAAAGCAATAAAATTCTTCCTGAAATTGACCTGGGAAAAACATTTTTTGCAAGTCTAAATGAAGAGGCTAGTAATTACAAGACTCCAACTCGAATGCAACTTATTGAAGAACAGAAGAGTGATCCAGAAATAGTCAAACTTCGAGAGAACGCTTTGACCCAAGAAGAAGCTGAACAATTCCCTATATGTTATTACCTTCAAGATGACATACTTTTGAGAAAATGGCGACCTCCAGACGCAAATGCTGATGAAGAATGGAGGATAGTTCATCAAATAGTAGTTCCTACCCCATTCCGGAACGAAGTCCTGAACTTAGCCCATGACTCACCACTTTCAGGGCATTTGGGAGTAAAGAAGACATATCACAAAATCACGTCGCACTTCTTTTGGCCCAAAATCAAGAAAGATGTGGTTGACTACTGCAGATCATGTCATACTTGTCAGGTTGTAGGGAAACCAAATCAGAAGATACCAGCAGCTCCTCTTCAACCCATTCCAGCATTCGAAGAACCTTTCAGTCGCGTTATTATAGACTGCGTTGGACCTCTGCCAAAGACAAAATCAGGTCACCAATACTTGCTGACAATCATGTGTGCGTCAACAAGGTTCCCAGAAGCTACTCCTCTTCGCAATATCAAGACTCCGAACATCGTCAAAGCCTTGACGAAGTTTTTTACATTGTTTGGTCTTCCGAAGTCTGTACAGTCTGACCAAGGAACCAACTTCAAGGCTGGAATATTCAAACAAGTGATGAACCAGTTGGGCATAGAACACTGCTTGTCGAGTGCATATCATCCTGAGTCACAGGGAGCACTTGAGCGATTCCATCAGACGTTGAAGAACATGATGAGAACCTACTGCCTAGAACAAGAGAAAGACTCGGATGAAGGCATCAACATGCTACTGTTCGCCGCAAGAGAAGCAGTTCAAGAATCACTTGGATTCAGCCCCTTCGAACTGGTGTTTGGCCACACGGTTCGCGGTCCCCTTCAACTTTTAAAGGACACGTGGATGTCATCGACACCCACGGAAGGACTTCTTGACTATGTCCAAAAATTTAAAACTAAACTTTTTAATGCCGTTAATTTGGCTAAAACACATTTAAAAGATTCACAATCTAAAATGAAAGTTTGGTATGACAAAAAGTCAAAATTCAGACAGTTTGCTTCAGGGGACAAAGTGCTTGTGCTTTTGCCGATACCAGGGCAAGCACTACAAGCTAGATATTTTGGTCCTTATGTTGTTGAGTCCAAAATCAATGATTTGAATTACATTGTGTTAACACCAGATCGTAGAAGAAAGAAACAGTTATGTCACATTAACATGTTAAAAGAATATTTTGATAGAAAATGTGATGATCATTGTCCATCCTCAGAAACAAATGTTAACACAATCTCAACAGTAACTTCAGTACTTAAAGAAAATGTTACTGAAACCTTTGATAGTGTCCCAGAAAAAGTTGGTAATTATAAACTTAAAAATTCAGAAATATTAGCCAACTTAGATAAGAAACTAGGACATTTGTCATTGTCAGAGAAGGATGTTGTAAAGTCTATTATTGCAGATTTTGTTTTACTCTTCCCTGATGTGCCTAATAAAACCAACATTGCTGTACATGATGTTGACATTGGCAATGCAGTTCCGGTCAAGCAACATCCCTATAGGGTCAATCCGGAAAAACTTGAAATAATCCGGTCTGAAATAAAATACATGCTTGAAAATGATATAATTGAACCAAGCTCTAGCAACTGGAGTTCACCATGTATTTTAGTCCCAAAGCCTGACAAAAGTTACAGGTTTTGTACTGACTTCAGGAAAGTGAATGCATTTACAAAGACTGATTCCTTTCCGATTCCAAGGATAGACGATCTTATAGATCGAATAGGTGATGCCAAATATGTAACCAAGATAGACTTACTATCAGGTTATTGGCAGGTTCCTCTATCTGACAGAGCAAAAGAAATCTCTGCTTTTTGTACTCCAGATGGTTTATATCAATATAAAGTAATGCCGTTTGGAATGAAAAATGCCCCAGCTACATTCCAACGTCTTGTAAATAACATTATTGCTGACCAGGAAAATTGCAGCGCCTATATTGATGATGTAATTATTTACAGTCAAGATTTTTCATCTCATGTAAACCAATTAAGATCTCTGTTTAAAAAATTTTTGCAGGCAAATGTAACTGTAAATTTAAATAAATGTGAATTTTGTCATGCAACTGTGGAATATTTAGGTCACATAGTGGGTCAAGGTCATGTAAAGCCTGTTCAAGCTAAGATAAATGCTATTGTATCACTTCCACCACCCACTACTAGAAAACAGTTAATGAGATTTTTGGGAATGGCAGGTTATTATAGAAAATTTTGCAAAAATTTCTCAGTTATTGCTTCTCCTTTAAGTAATATGTTAAAGAAAAATGCAAAATTTCATTGGTCAGATGCTTGTCAGGAAGCATTCGAAAACATTAAAAATATACTTGCTAATGCTCCTGTTCTCATTGCACCAGACTTTAACAAACAGTTTAAATTAGCTGTAGATGCCAGTGATGTTGGCATTGGTGCAGTTCTTTTTCAAGAAGATGACCACAGTGTAGATCACCCTGTCTCTTATTTCTCAAAGAAATTTAACTCTCATCAGAAAAACTATTCCACAGTAGAAAAGGAATGTTTAGGTTTAATTCTTGCTCTCCAACAATTTGATTTTTATGTCAGTTGTTCTTTACATTCAGTACTTGTTTTTACTGATCACAATCCTTTAACATTTTTGAATAAGATGGTCTCCAAAAATCAAAGATTGTTAAGATGGAGCCTATTTTTACAAGAATATAATTTGGACATCAAACATATTAAAGGCAAAGATAATGTCATTGCAGATACTTTGTCCAGAAATTAATTTTCACTTATGTTATTGTTTATAAGCTGTTAAGAAGTTTTTGTCTTATATTTTGAGAGTAAGAAATGTACTTTCTTCAATTTTAATGGAAAAAGAATTCCATTTTTGAACAATGAAATTTTTTTCTTTTAAGAGGGGAGGTGTTATAGAGAGCTAGTATTTCTCGTGCGTGCCCTCTGATTGACCCCGCATGAGACGCTGTGTTCACAAAGGGGTGTGGCTTAGGTCTTTGAAGTGGCTTGTTTACAGTCGGCTTCCAATTACGCATTGGGTAGATTGTTTTCGGGTAATTTCTGGAATATACTCCTTAACCCGAGAGATGTAAACAACACGTCATAAGCCCTTCTCGAAGCATCTTACTCTACATATATATAAGAGATTGACAGGCACGAGGGGACGGAGATTTTTCACATAGATTTTCTTAACATTACGAGGCGTGTTTTATTCTTTGTGTATTTGTGTGCTCCTACTTATATGTGTTTATTCCGCATTATTTATTGGCATCATTATTTCTAATTGTATTAAGTGTGTACCGGTACGACATCTGCCATACTGTAAGTTGAAGATTGTAATTTTATTTTATTTTATTTTGTAATTATCTTTAGACATAATAAATCTTAATTAATTGTAACTAGAAACTGTTTTGGGTCGTATCTTTAATAATTGTTGATTCTATGGTATCGTCCTTTGTTAGGCACTGTTTACATCGAGCCAAATTAAAATTAAAATAGGAGATTAATTTCTCCCAATACAAGTCAGTGCGTAACAATCATGGATGATCAAAATGTCTGTAGCTGACTTCTCTTCAGTTGGTTGTAGATACTATTTTTACATTACAGCCTCTCAATATAGTAAAAACCCAATAAAATTGTTCAAAACATATATGTTGTACTAAAATGTTAGGGTAATTTATAAGATTTCTATAAAAAAAAAATAAACTCCCCCATTTGATTTCAAATTCTATGAAGTATAGTGAATTTCCAAGGTAGACTTGGGTGGTATTTGTGTGGGTTAAAAAAGGAGGGAACTTTAAGCTCTTCATTCAAAAATGTATATTTAAGAAGTGTTTAACATGTATTCTTGAATTAAAAACATGTTTAATGTTACATAATGATAATAATTCTCTTCTTCTTAAAAGGATAATAGTTTAGTTGTTTGGAAAGAGGTCAATCTTGCTAAGCTGAATGAAAAACAGAGACGTGACTCCCAAAGTGAAATTGACATATTGGCCTTATTAAATCATGCTAATATTATTAGCTACTACAACCATTTCATAGATGAAGACATGCTTTTCATTGAAATGGAATATGCTAATGGTAAGATATGTATTTTTAGGGAGGACTCAGCTAATTAAATCTTTTTAATGAGAAAATGAGACATCACTTCTCGTATCGAGAATATTAATGACCTGATTATTTATATTTTTTCTTACAAGTTATCATTATTTACATTTTAACATAATATTTATTTATAAATTTCTAGACATTCAGAATTAATTTAACAGATGTTGTAGACAGCTTTTAAATGTACACCTTTGCAAATGAATGTATTTTTTAAATTCTGAATACTTAGGTGCAGGTTATAAACCATTGCCAAAAGGCGAAGAAAATAGACAAATTGTGTAAAATTAAAATTGTGTGAATTCATAAATGAAGCACAAAATAGTTATAACCTAGTGAATGAACAGACAGCTAAAAAGTTCAATTCTGGTCTGTTAATTAATTCACTGCCTGGTTCTTGACAGCATATTTGCACTTTGAACATATTTTTAGATGAGCTAAAAAGTTAAATTCTGCATCTTTAGTTCAATATCAAAAGAGAAATAAAGGTTATTTTTGTCTAAATATTATTGAAACACCTGCAGAATAAGCAGTTGGGAATAATTTGCTTTCTCTGCTTTCCCAAGGTGGAACTCTCTATGAAAAAATTGTGAGCAGTACTAAACTGTGGCTTGAAAAAGTAAGATATGGATACCTGTAAATACTTTAGGAAAAGTAAAGATGTTACTCACAAGTTCATTATCCCATGTGGAAAGATGTGTTAGAGTAATATTTCCATCTTAGTTAGGTGGCTAATTAGTTAAGTTTTTTAAAACTTTTTGATGCATTAGTAAAAAAAATTCTTTTAAAAAAAGGCTTCTTTTACTTTCAATGACATTTGATATCTTTGATATTTAAGGATGTGCTATGGTATTTGTATCAAATGACATCTGCTCTGGGTTACATTCACCAATATGGCATTATTCACAGGTAAACCATACTTACTTTATTGTAGGCCTTTATACAATTTTTGAGTTGACATTTGAAATGACAAAAGGATGATTTGATTTTCTTAACCGTGAGAAATGTAATTTACTTGACCAAAGTGTTTTTACAAATTACGAGTGCAAAATTATCTATATAAAAGCATATTTTTTATTTTTCTTGGATAGCTAAATCTCTATTGTGTGCTGATTACTTTATTGTGTGTTTGATTTAACACATTCACACCTTATAAAGAACATAAATTGAATTCAGCATCAAGCAGAAATGAACTAATTTAATTTTAATTACAGGGACATCAAGACATTAAACATATTTCTTACTAAAGTGGGACTTGTTAAACTTGGAGATTTCGGTATCTCCAGATTTTTAGAATCCAGCAATGCAATGGCAGAAACAGTAAGTTCTGCACCCAGGTGGAACATATTTCATTTTTAATTTACTGGCAATTACTGTATTTTACAGACTAAAAGACGCACCTTAATTTTGAAGCAACTTTAAAAAAAAATAATTTTTTTTACCATTTTTATATTGATTTCAAGTATAAGACGCACCTTAGTTAGCATAAAAAAATATATACTCCATTTTTGGCTCTGTCGTCAGTACCTGTATGTATTTTTTGAACCCAAGAAAAACGTTTTTTATCAAGTTTTTCCTTAGGACACCTATTGATGCTCATGGTAGATTTTATCACCACATTATTGCTCTGTTAGCATTGTTACAAAATATACTTCTTCACATTTAGTCCAATTTTATAACCAATGGAAATAATTTTATTCTTTTGAAAGAATAAATTTCATGTTAAAAATAGAACTTTAAGATGTTTCAGAATCATGCACAATGACTTTAGATCCAATTAAGTTGTAATTTATACATTAAATAATAATTTTAAAAATTGCTATATTAAAAATATTGTAAAATAAAATTATTCAACAAGCTATTTAATACTTTACTAAAATGTATCTCATACAAACAATAAAATTTCATCTATATTGTCATTTGTGGGGTTATAAAATTCATAAATAAATTGAAAAAAAAATGTTTACAACACCATGAGAGATATTTTGGAAAATACCACATACTTGACAAACACTTAAATTTTATTTTCAGATTGTTGGAACACCGTACTACATGTCACCAGAAATTATGATGGGCGAAAAGTAAATTTTTTTGTTTTATTAATTTTTTTATTTACACGAATTCTAAAAGCAGATATATAAATTTTGTTTGTTTAATGTATTTTTTCCTTCAAGTTTTGTCTTACCCTAACTTGTTAGCAGTCTCCCCCATATTTTATCTATCAAATGATAAAATTTGGCTAATAGTTCAGCTAATTAAATATCTTTATAATGGCCTTCTGTCATAATAATAATCATCCACATATTGTCTGGCAATAAAACCAAAATAATAACAATGTTATTTCCTATTTATCGCAAGTTGTATGTCTCAAAATGCATTTACTAAAAATGGGGCAATATTGTTTTAAACTTAGCCATAATTGTTCATGCTAAAAAGTTGTTTTCAGAAAAAGTAAATCAATGTCCCGAAACGCATGCTTTTGTATTCTGTAAAATTATTATTAAAGCTTAATTTATATTGTTGATTGGCACAAATTGTTCGTGTCTAATTAATCTAAATCAATGAGCTAAACTTAAACACATCAGTTGACTAGCATCTAAACAGGTCTATCTTGAATATTTTGTCTTTGTATAATCTTGCACTTGCTTATTTTTTACTTATGTTTTACTCATAGTTAAAGTAATTATTCTTAAATATTTACCTCAAGAAATTGCTAACTTCTGTAATCCTCATCATTTAAATTCTTAAGTATTCTTAACTTTCTTTGGATGCCGAACGTGATTGATTGTTTTAAGTTAGTGATCCATTTTACAATAAAATTAATATGAATTTAATTTCATGTGAAAGGAAAAAATTGAACCAAATATTAACAAATGAATCCTTTTTTATAGATATAATAATAAAAGTGATATTTGGGCACTGGGATGTGTTCTTTATGAAATGTTGACACTCTCTAGAACTTTCCAAGCTTCTGTAAGTATTTTCTTTTGATCAATTATATTTTAAAAAAAATTTAATATAAAAAAAGTTCATTTAGGTCATGAAGAAATCTGTTAACATCATGAATTTTAATTGGAGACAAAACCAAAAGGTGGATGAAACATTTATTTATTTTCAGATGTATCTGCAAAAAGCTAAACAAATCAGATAATAATGTTTATCGATTTCATTAAAAAATGTTGGTAAACTTAATTCTTCAGTTTAACTAAAATAAACTACCACAAATGACATCCAAATAGCTTGAGTCTAATGGTACCTTGGTGTTAATGATGGCGCTGCATGTCTTGATCCATTTTGACTCAGTGGTATTCGGATGTCATTTGTAGTAGTTTATTTTAGTTAAACTAAAGAAGTAAGTTTACAAACATATAGTCCATTCAATTATCTTTCATTTGATTCCACATTTTGTCTTACAAACCAAACAATAAATTTTAAATAGTCTTTTAATTCAAACCTCTCACTTCTCGTACCCGGGTAGGAATAGCCACTTCGTAAAAAAAAAATGTTTTTAAAAAGTAGAAACAAAATGGAGTAGTGATTATCTTTTCCTATTGAAATACCACATTTCAGAATCCTTTGAAGTTGGCTCAAGAGATTGTTAAAGGTGACCATGTTGAAATCAACACCTGCTTTAGTGAGGATATGCGCAGTCTTGTTGATTTAATGCTGAGGAAGGTACATGTGCATTAGCAATAATTTATGTGACAAAGCAATAACTAATGCGTAACATATTTAAAAAATGTATAATTATAGAATTAGAAGACAATTTTTATTATAATAACTCTAATGATAAAGATCAAAGGATTTATCAGAGACATTGTAATATTATATTTGGCCTCTATGATTAAACATTCACTTTTTTACATTTATTTAAGCACCATTCCTAATTTTGTGTACATTTAATATAATTAAATCCAGTGCTTACAATGAGAAAAGGTAAATAAACATAACAAAATTTTTTTTAATGAAAAATTAATATAGATGTATGTTTCAAATTTCAATTTTAGAAGCCTGAAAATAGACCCAGTGCAGAGTTTATTTTATCAGTCCCTTTGATGGCTGTCAATGCTGTAAGTTTTGAGAAAAAAGTTCATGAACTGAACTCCAACACAAGGCGCGCAAGACTCTCGGCAGCATCAACCACTAATATTGTGTCTGTGGTAACCTCCAAAATGTGTGAGGTTTGTTTCTTGTAAAACTTTACTAATCCAGTGGCAAGAACTAATGATTTTTTGATAATGTAATTGTCTCTGTCATAAGTTAACTTTGGCTCTCATTTTATGCATTGCCTCTATCCTGATAAAAGCACTTTCTTAAAAAAAATATCTTTAGATTACTAGGATTGTGCCAAATAGAAATTGTAAACTGTCTTGTATGGTGTTCTTTTTAACAAAAATTAACATTATATTTATGTTGTTTTTAGTTTCCTCTTAACTTGCCATTGAAACATTGTAATGTAAGAATAATTATATATATTAAAAACTCTGACAGATCTACCAGTGGGGTGGTGGAAAGATAACTCCTCAGAAACTGGAGATTTTCACAAGAGAAAAGAGCCCAATGCAGGTAAATAACACCTCCTGTTCTGGGGAATTTTAAACTGTTAATTTTAATATATTGGAAAAACAAAAACACACAGTGAATTATGCAGTGCACATGAAAATCTAGCTTAATTTTTTTTTTGTCCCTTTCATGTCTGTAGGACAATGATTCTGAATATATACATATTAAGCTAACATATTCAGCTGTCTTGCATGAAGGCAATGAATTTGCTTAAAGGCATTTCCAAAGTCCCCCAGATCACAGAACCATGACCATATCCCTACTGAATTTCGTTCCATCTTATTAGGCAGAAAGATGATGGCTGCAAGCATTCTGCTGAGCCCTCTTGACAACAGGAAATAACAATAAAGCCAAACTATCATTTGGCAATCACAAATGTATACCACAGAAAATATAAATGCATTATAAAATATAATATTTTATGTCAAATTTATTTGTAGGAGAAGTTATATTTGGGTGTGCAGTTAGCTGTTTAAACCTACTTATTTATTTTTGTTTATTTTAATTAACCTACATTATATGAGAAATATACTTTCAAAATTTTTAAAACACCCAAAGGATATATTTGCTTAAAATACATTGAGTGTTATTCAAATAGTATGAAAAGCTTCCTATCTTTGCCTTACTGACCACCTCAGGAGAGGTCAACTTAACTATCTGGCAAATCATTAGCATAAAAAAAAGACCCCTCCCCCTACTGTTAAAGACTGCAAAGCACACACATAATATAATTTGATCAGTTTCATAATGCTTGGAGAATAGACTCAAAAATCAATCTTTGGAATTATTTTATTCTAGATAAAGTTCATTAAATTACTTTGCTTATATCATGGGAATGAACACTTGGTGGCACAGATCAAAGGCATGGATTTCTTATGTTCTCTTGTAACTGTCTAGTGTAAAAGTTGAACTTGTTATGATATTTTAAAAAAATGTAATCTTAATAAAAGAAAAAAAAAGACATTCACAAAAAGCTGGTTGTGTGAGATAGGATTTTTTCTAAGAAAATGCTTGGACTATTCATTTTACAGGTTGCAACTGGTCACAGTCACTTTGCTGCAATTACATTTGAAAAAGAGCTTTATACATGGGCGGTAAGTTATTCGACTCATTACTAGAGATTGAAAGGCTGTAATGAACCATACATTTTTAAAAAATAAATTAGCGAGGCATTTAAGACCTATATTTCAGATGTCTTTTCATTAATATTTTTCAGTGAGAACTCTACATAAAAAATTTAAGTATTATTATCTAAATCATGCAGCTTTAAATTGGGAGGACTGCATCCAGGTGGAAGTGATAAAAATATAAAATAAAGGATTATTGTGTTGTATGATTTTCAGAATTTCACAACTTCAAAATAAAATTAAAACATAGACTGAATGGGATTCGAAACTGTGAGATAATTTATTTCAGAATCCTCAGGGTGGAGTCAACATGGTAGGACAACTAGGACATGGGGATACTGCAGCTTATAAAGCTCCACGCCGGGTGGATTCCTTGCTTGGTGTATCAATACAACAAGTTGCTTGCGGGGAAGATTTCACTCTGTGTGTGTCAGGTAGATGTGGGATTTAAAATGAGCTGTTACACCTCAATGGTTCCAAAGCCTTGCAGCTGTATTTTTAAAATCATTTTCTGTTTTGTTCATTGAAAAAAAATTAATGCTTGTTGGGGTTATCTTTAAAATATCAATTAATAAGTTGAGGATATTGCAATAATTTTTTGTAACAGCTCAAATAAAAATAAAAATTCAGTCATTGCAGTTTTCTTTAAACTTGGTGGTGTTGTAAATATAAGATATGAAATAAACAATTTTCTCCTTTGCAAATTTTAAAACATATTTGTAATGATTATTTTTTTTGTCCAGACAATGGTGCCCTCTATGCTTTTGGTTCAGATTACTATGGATGCCTTGGTTCAGAAGGGGATGAGGAGGAGGTGCTCTCCCCTGTCTTAGTTGACTATTTCACTGATCACCCTGTGCAAGAAGTGGCCTGTGGTGACGCACACGTTGTGGCTCTTACCAGATATGGAGATATCTACACATGGGGGTCAGGGGAGTACGGTAAGTGAATTGATTGATGGAAGTTTCAGGGTGGTGTGCTAGGAGTAAGGATGTTATACATGTAATGCAATAATGAATAATTTTAACACTCAAGTATGTCTGCACAAGAGTGAGTTTACAGGAATTACATTTTTGTTTTTTGGAATTTGGATTTAAGGAATTAGGTAGTGACATTTTATCTTTTTGAGGAATTGTGTAAAATTATTTGCTGATTATGTAAGGGAGAAGAAGTAAATATTAATATTCATAGTTATTATAGAAATTATGAAGAATATTAATGTGCAAAATATATAAGGTGACATTTTAATTTTAACGTTTATTTCATATAATTGTTTTTTGAATCCTGTTAATCTATCTGATATGGTTATAATCAAGGAGAGTAGAGTTAATTTTGATCTGTTTATTTGCTGTGTTTAATGATTTTAATTTATCCCTTAATTAACAAAGAATGCATTATATTTAAAGTTCAAATAATTAAATGGATGCTTTCAATATTCATATTTTTGATTTAAAAGGAAAGCTGGGCTTAGGGTCTGAGGATGATTACAATACGCCACAAAAGGTTTGCTGATTTTTTAACGTGTTCTAAATTTTACTTTTAACTGGATACGGTTGGTTGATGCCATTAGTTCTTTTGATGTGATAATATAGGCCTTTACAACAAATTGAATATGTTTAAGTGGATTTAAGACAGAAACTTAGTTTTTGCATAATGGAAACTATCTGTTTTTACTGGGGTTTTTAATCAGCAGTTAAAAAAAACAACAGATTTGAAAGCGTACTTATGGTTTACATTATATAATATTTTATTAGTTTTTTTTACAGGTATCTGGAACAAATATTACTTCTAAGAGTAGGGGGAAGGAGGGCATAAACAAATTGTATTTCTTCTTCCTCTTTGCCATTTAAACTCCCAGTGAAGCTTAGTCAATTAAAAATTTCTCTCCATACCTTCCAGTCTCTAGCTATCTTATTTAACTCTTTTCCATCTTTATTACATCCTTGTTGACCTCTATTGGCCAGGTGTTGTCTTGTTTAAAATTATAAAATACTTCAACTAATTCTATGGTCATCATGAAGAAATTATCTGTAACTTAAAATTTAAAAAAATGTAAACTTCACAATTGTTATATGTTAATTTGCTTTTTAAAAACATTCAAAAGTTCCATGTTAAATATATTTCAACTTTTAACAAATTTAAATATATGTATATATGTTATAGATTTCATTGAAAAAAAAATCGCTTAGATCCATCTTTGTCTATTTCTCACTGATCTAGGTTGACATCCCTGGTAAGCAGGAAGTTAAACATGTGGGTGCTGGTGGGGACAGCTCATTCCTCATTTGTTCCAGTGGGAGACTCCTGGCATGTGGGAGCAACCAGTTTAACAAGCTTGGATTCAACTCAGAGACTTCTGGTCTTAGGAAGAGGAAAAAAAAAGTAAGTAGAAATATTTCAGTGGAATGGGTAATCATGAAAATTAAAGAATTAATTTTTTTGTTCTACATCTTAAAATTCTGATCATTTTTTGCATAGAAAACCTAGATATTCTCTATTTCTTCTTTCATTGTCTAGGCATCATTGTAAGTAAGTGCAATAATGTTTTAGGGCTGCTTTTATTGAGATATATCTCACAAAAAAATTAATTGATGCAGTTTATTTCATTTAGAATTGCCCAACTAACAAAAAAAAAATGGTTGATTTTCTATACTGAACAGTTGTATTTATCTCTATTATTTATTTAAATAGGCCCAACCATCCCAGAGTTCATTAAAGCACTTTTAATTCTAATCTACAGACTTTTGATGTCCCATGTAAAAACACTTTTAGCACAGTTAAACCTCTGAATAGGTTAACCATTACACAGGTGGCTGCTGGAAAAACACATTCAGGCGTTATTGACAGTAAGTAATCTTCTTTCTTCTGTGTTTACTTGAAGTGACTTTATGTGCAGTGCTGGCCTCTGACTCATCTACTTATCTATTTATTTTTTAATCTGAAAGTGTCAAAAAATGATTACTTACAATTCCATGTAAAAATAGTTAGATAAATGAGATCACCAGTTATTTCTTTTTATTCCACACAAATGAAAGTCTGTGAAACTCATCAACTGTAATTTTTTAAACAAAATTAATGACCTTGATTGCAAGTAAGGCTGAAAACATGAATTTTAATCTTCAGCCAAAAAAGTCTTGTATTTGAAAAAAAAATACATTTAATAAAATGAAGCATTATAGTGAAGGTAGATAGGCCTAAATGAAATAACATCAGGGTCCAAAAAAAATAATTAAATTTTAAAATAAATTTTAAAATATTACGTTGAAAGAGAAATAAAGTTTTCATCTATTGTAGAAAGGCTCATTCAAAGTCTAAAATCTCCAGGTTTCGGATATCTCCACATGTTTGGTTCTAACAAGTATGGGCAACTTGGAATGGGTGATTTCAAAGTAAGACCAGGAATCTGTAGAGTAGGTGGAGTGCTGACAGGACAGAAGGTTGAGCAGCTGGCATGTGGGGATGGATTTACAGTAGCAGCCACAAACGGTTAGTACCTATGAGGGAAGTAATTTTAAAAAATTTATAACCCCAAATCACTGCTATGACTTATTATGAAAATTAGCTTAACCCATTTATTGAGTTATAATTATTTAAAAATATAAATGACATATCAATTTTTTTCTAAAAATAAGCCTTTAAAAATACAACATATAACATATTTAAACTTATAGCATTGTTAACATAAATTGATACACCATAAAAAATGTTGATGATGGCAATGAAAATACCTGTATTCTGTGGAAGGAGGTCATATAAATGTTTATATCTGAAATGCAAGTTTTTATGATTTCAAACTAATGTTTGGCCAACACTTCAGAATATCAACAACATTTAAAGGAAGAGATCAGACTGAATCTCCTCTAATTTCTTTGTTTGTTGCGTTGGAGTTATAATTAAATTTTTAAAACTTTGACTATATTTTAAAATGCATGTTCTATTACGTTAGCTTTATTTAATGTGTCACAAATGTATAAACTATAAACAGTTTTAATACTTATTTACTTGTTTTTAATGTTTTATAATTGTTATGCTATCCAGGTAGCATAGGTAAAATAAGGATTTTGTCATGATAGCCATTTAATGTTGCACTTTGCCACACTCAACTGGCATATTACTACCATATTTGCATTCATCATTTATGAGTAATTTGAAAACATTTCTTAATTTTATTTGCCAGAGAATCAGATCTACTCCTGGGGGAATGGAGAAAGTGGGCGCCTGGGAGGTATGTTTACTGACCAAGGAATAGGGCCTAACGGCATGTGCACTGCCCTTCCCAGACCAATATTTGGGTCCATGCATGTGGTGTCATGCTTGTCCTGTAGACACTGGAACACTTTAATCATTGCAGGTATAATCAGAAATAAAAACAAATGCAATTTTTGTCTGTTTTGCTCTATATGTAACCTCAATTAACCTTGTTGCACACCAGATACATGTATTTTAAAGTTAAAAAAACATCTGAGGTTGGAAGCAGAGCCATTGCGTGGGCCATGCAACCCCTGTGACTGCAGGGGGCCTCAGATACTTTCAGGGTCATAGTTGCCAAATGGGAAAAAAATGAAACTATAAACTTTGAATGCAGGGGGCAAAAATCTGAAAATAGCAAGGGGCCTCCATTTTGATTGGAAGGGATTTGATATTGAAATAAGCAACAATATTTTCTAATGTTTAGAAAATACTGTATCTAATTAAAAAAACTGTTCACACTTATTGAAGACGATTTACTTCTTTGAGTTTTAAGCTACTTAAAACTGCCCAGGGACCTCTTCATTTAAAATCACTCATTGTAATTTTACGCAGGGAGATGAGAAAAGGTTAATATTTTTTTAATTGTTTTGCTTCTATTATATATGTTTTAATTAATTTTATTTCTCCATCCTGCTGTATAAAATTAGAAAAAGTCCTCAACCAAAAAACATTGAAGTCAAGAGTATCATCACCAAAACGTAAGCAAATTTTAACTTTGAAAAACTGCTGATTTTGACAAAATACAATTATATCATGTGTAAGATAATGATATTACACGTAAAGAAAAAGCTTTCCAATTTAGTCTGTTATATTCTGTATTTCTATTTTTCATTTTATGGCGGCTGGAAATGCCCCATTTGCGCCAAGTTTACATCTGATACTAGAACATTTGGTGTGTAGAGCTTTACTTTTATATACCACATACACTCGTTTTAAAGCTGACTTTTTTTGGAAATATTTCAGTGGGGTAAGTGGGGTTGTAATTGGGTCATGGGCAATTTATATTATTTTCTCCAAGTACAATGAATAATAAAATTGTTATTGTAGATCATTTGGGGACCAGAGCTTTAAATATTTAAAAAATACGCACTTATATTAATTATTTATTTTCGTGAACTATATAAAATTGCTATGTAATGTTTAACAAATTTTAATTTTAACAATGACATAAAAATAAAGATACTGGAAGTAGATGGTGCAGCTGTTCAGTTGCTTTAAGCATCAGGATAATTTTATCCTAGATTAACTTGGTAAAGCAGGCCTGTACAATTAAAAATGTAAGGCGGGCCGTAATACTTTATGAGAAACTTGTTCGCACCAAAAGAAAATAGGACAAGGGGAAAGCTGCTAAGAAAATAATAAGAATAAAGAATATTTCGTTAATTCGCTGGCCATATGTTGTGCAGGCTTGTGGTAAAGTACTGTTTATACTCAGGCGTATTATTTTATGGGTTCAGCTTATGAGGGGGTTGAAACTTTTCAGGCGTTTCCCATCCAAAATTTGCAGGGGAGTGAGGAGGAGGTGTCAGCTTATGTATGAACAGACTTTAGAATTAGTATCTATGGTAATGAACTAAATTCACCAAAACCTTTTAGATGTTTAGGGACCTTGGTGGCTTAAATTCCTAGTGACAACATTTAAATATAAATTAATTATTTACTAACACCTTCTGGTATTTTTTCAACAAAAGATGAATACTCAAAAGTTGTGGTGTTTTTGTTCACTCCCAAATTATAAATGTTACTTATTCATTTTCTCTGGAAAGGTTTAGAAATTTGGAAGGAATCTGATCAAGGTGAACTCTGTTGCATGCATTCACACACTTTTCCCAAACATGTTGTCAAAGTTATGCAATTTGTAATTAAGCTTCTTTCTATCTTGTGTTTTAATGTTTGTCATTTTGGAGTGTCAGTGTGTCATAAACTGTGGTCAATTCAAGTTAGTGAAAAAATTTCAACGACACAGAGAAAATAAATGTTAATATTTAATTTAATTAAATGGAGTTGTATTAATAAGTTGTACTAAAGTAGGCCTACAAAATAAGTGTTACTGGCATTTATTTAATATGTTCATGCAAAATGAAGTTATAAATAAGAATGATTAAAAAATGAAACACAAAACAAAAGTTTAGTAAATGAACATGAAAGTTCTACCTTCAGGCTAACATAATTTTAAGTCAGTTCTCAAAAAAGAGATTTACTTTAAAAAATGAAGATTTTAAATTTTGATGAACAATTTTTCCTTATAATTATTACTACCTGTATCAATTAACCATTTATATTTTATTTTTTAATTAGTGGTAAAGATTTCAGATTTAATAATAATAATTAAACACAATAAAAAAAAAATTAATTAATGCATTGATTTTATTTTGATAGAAAATTTGGTTCTCTGTACTGTAGTTCTAAAGTGAAGAGAAACTTTAATTTAATTGAGGATGGAAAAACAAAAAATGTTTTAAAGCCCTATTTAAGGCCAAACTAATATTTATTGTTCACTTTATTTCTCTCCCCACAAAGTTTTGTTCCCAGGGGCTGGAGGCTCATTTGATTCCATGCCTGAGACAAAAAGTCAAACCCCAGATATTGGAACCAGTGCACCAGATTCTCTATGCAACTTTGTACTGCCTGATGAGGTCGGTGGTGTAGATGGTCAAAGAGATTTTACTCCAGATGTGTTTACCCCTCCTTGTTCGAACCCAAGTTCAGGAAGTGCTTCGATGGAGAGTAGTGTCCCTGCGTGGCTAGCGCAGGTGAAATACTTTTTTTTTTTTTTTTTAACTGGTATTTAAACAACATTATAACTTTCTCAAAGTCAACTTTGCTATGAAGCAGGTTCAATTTAATTGTGTATTTTCCTGATGGGCTGTTGTAGATTAAATAAGACACGTCCTATCATAGTATAATGCATACTGAGACTTACGGAAAGCGCACTTTTGCATTTGCCGGCCCAACACTTTGGAACGCCCTTCCAGTGGCTCTCAGAAACAGCCAGACACTGGAGTCCTTTAAAACCGATTTAAAAACACATTTATTTTGCAAACACCTTCTGGGGTGATGCTATCTACCATCTTTTTTCTGTTAATGTATATTGGCTTGTGTTGCTTATGGTTGAAATGGAATGAAAGACTTTGACTTGGTATGCTCGTGTGTGTATTTTATATTGTTGCGTCTGTTTTTTAAATGTGGTAAATTTTAGATTGTTTTTATTTCTATTTTTAATATGGTTGACTTAGTACAGGCTTCAAGCTTTTGGGGATGAAGCGTATTTTTCAAATAAACTTTATTATTATTATTATTATTATTATTTAGCCATAAAATCAATTGGGCACCAATATTTTGTTAGATAATTTAAGATTTTTGTTGAATAGCATTTATTTCAAAATATGAAAAAAAACTGACTCAACACTCTCGTAAAATTTTTGGAAAATTTTGCAAATTTTATATTTTGTATTAATCTACCAACCTATTTTTTTGTTATAAAATATGTGTATTCATATGGCTAGATGCTATTTTCTTTCCAAATAATGATGCATTTGAGTGTGCTACATCAGGGTCTCTACATTTTTTAGTCCTTGGAACCTTTAAGTCAGATGAAGGTCATGTACCCCTTCTTAGAAATTTTTAAAATGCATTTAAATAATTAAGAAAGGAATTACAGCTCATCAACCCTTGACACAATTAGAAACAGATGCCCAAGGGGTCCATGGACATGTACCACTGGTTAAGAATCCCTGCTCTCGATGTTATTAGCTCTAAAAGAAACAATTTTACCAAGGTCAGTCTACAGAATGGTTTCAGCAACTGTGCAACATTACACCTTTGAAATGATTCAGTTAAAATAGTATAACAAAAAAACAAAACTGAGTTGTTGTATTTATAAATCTATCTTACTTTTCAGGAGCTTCAAGATGCAGATTTTATTCCCATGCCAACCCCGTCACCAAAGGTGTGTGACAAGTCCATGTTACCTCCTTTGCAAGTTCATAATGTCTTACCTGGCACGACAGTAGCACCTAATTTAAAAGGTGCTGATTTGAGACTTTATATTCCTTCAAATGAGGTAATCACACAAAAAAACAACTAACTTTTAGCATATACCCAAGTCCCGTTGAATAATTTATCTCATTAGTTAAATAAATAACTCCATTTCAGTATTTTTTTTTTTGGTTTTTGTTCTTTTCCCCCCCCCCCCCCAGCCAGCAGAATCAATGCATTTTTTTATCCACCTCTTTTACTGACATGAAAATGAGTGAGGGGTAGACACTTAAATAATTTATGAGTAGTTTTTAAAGAAAAGTTGAGTAAAACTCTTAGGCTCTTATTACTCAATTTTAGTGCAAACATTTTTTTTCAGACTCTTATATTCAATTGTAGGGTGGACATTTTGTCCTGAAAAGGACCAGAGGATATATATTTATGACTTTGCTGTAGCTTTTTTTGTTTTTTTATATCCTTTATATTATCTTCACTTTTGTTATTGTGTTTCTTTCTGGCTGGGTGGCAAAATCTTGGGATGGATAACTGACCCACTTCCTGTCAACCTATGGAGCTGAAATTTGGCACATAGACTCCTTGCTGATGACAATACATACCCTAAACACCCCCCCCCCAACTCCAAAAAATTAGTTTACCCTGTTTTTCAAGGGGAAGATTAAGGAAATATGATGTCACTGATTTCATGAAATTAAATTCCTGATAATTGCACTAAATGAGATTCGTAAAAATATCACAAGTGCATTTGGTATGATATATTTTCTTTGGTTTTTGTGAAATAGTTGGTGAAATAAATCTGCGATGTAAAGCGGGTGGAACATTGAAAGATTAATTTAAAATAAAAGAATTAAAAAAAGGATTTATATGAAAACTTTTTTTTTTTGGGAGGGTTGTTTAATTTGAAAATATTTCTCTTGTTTGTTTTTAAAAAAATATATATTAGTATTTTAAGCTGGAGTTAACTTATCTTTTGAGTATTTCTCTTTTTATTTTATTTTTAAAAACAACACGACAGCTTCATTGAATTCCTTTTAATTGACACTCATTAACACATCAATTACCGTATTTTACGGACTATAAGACGCACTTTTTTCTTTGAAAATTTGCCTCCATAATTCAAGTGTGTCTTACACTTGAAATTAATATAAAAATGGTAAAAGTGTTATTTTAACAAAAAAAATTGCTTAAAAATGAAGGTGCGTCTTATAGTCTGTGGCATCTTATAATCTGTAAAATACGGTATACCTTGAGAAAAGAACTGAAAACATGTTGCATAGAGGAAATCAGTTCCTAGTGTTAAAAAGAAAAATGACTGCATTACTTATCACAGAAAAAAACCCCCAAAAAACCCCACCTCTGCTCCTTTTTTCAGTTGGAAAATATTGCTCTGTTGAATGCACGAATTGTGAGACTAGAGGAAGAGAATCAAGAGGTATGAAACCTTCTTGTTGATCTGCTAATATTAAGACTTTTTTTTTTGTTTCAAAATGTAAAGATGAAGTAGTGAGATAAAAGGAGGGCCATATAAATAAATAAGAGGATATTTTTATTACAAATTATTATTTTCTTATATATATATATATATATATATATATATATATATATATATATATATATATATATATATTATATATACTTCAACATACTGTTCTTTTCTGAATGAAGTTTGTCTTTTTTATACAGTTAAGCTGCTTTGGATTTTTCAGTGACACTGTTATGTGCACACAAAAATCTATCTTGATATAAAAATAATATATTTAATAACAGCTTAAATTTCCTGCCAAAGGATCAAATGTTTAAGCACTTATGTTTAGCTTGCAGAATTTATTTAATTCAAAAAGTAAATTCATCAAAGTAAAAAACAACAACATTATTTGTTTAAAAATCTTTTACTAATCATTTCTGTAATCCCCAGCTTAAAAGAACAGTTGCTGAACAAGCCAGGACTATTCACAACTTACAACAGCAACTTTCTTGACATCTTGAGAATGACACACCAATTAACTCTTTGAAAAAAAAAAGCATGGTTAAACTTACTTAAAATATTCAAAAGGAAGAAGTCATCAGCTTCTGACCCCGAAATGAACAAAAGTATGTTAACCCTACGTTTTGGTTGGACTGGGATTGTCCTGGTTTAGCCATGAAGCCCTGCCTTTTCCCATCGTTTTGAGGTCATGGTGTGGTTTAAGTTTCATTTTCACACAAATTAACACCAGTACTTGTTGGGGTTTAGATTGCAATAAAGCTAAAATTCCACTTGTAAAGATTTTTAATCTGAAGTGCTAATTTGCAAGACACCAAATCAATTTGCTTTATGTTGGGGATCAGCACCCATAGTATTGGGCTCTCCAAAAGTGATGTCCATTATCTTTAAATCGGTCAGTGGACACATCCCACATTCATGAGATTATGGTATTCACTTACTTTTGTAGTTTTTGCCAAGTTCGTAATTCATAAGTATGGCTTTCAAAAAAAAAAAAAAAAATTATTTAAAGGTATTTCCTTTTGACATGTTGGAAAAAAAATGGCTCTCACTTATCTATAAAGAAAAGTTTTGTGTTGGTTAGACTACATCTGATAACTTAATTGCTATCCTCACTTTGATACGGGCCCAATACTTTGATACGGGCCCAATATTATAGGCAATATTATTATGCAGCCTCAAAGGCGAAAGACAAGACTTGCCTCAGCTTCTAGTTCATCATGATCAGTTACCTTTTTTTGTGCTCAAACATTTTAAACAACAGATTTAGAGATTCTTACCACCAAGAAGGGTAAAACATTTGCTTTTCATTTAATTTTTTTTCTTTGATTTGGGTTCCAGTGACCTGATGAGGTTGGAAGAGCAAAGAGAGTTTGAAATTCCAAAAATAGAGATAAGAGCAACACAAACTTTAAAGTATAAAGAAAAGGTGATACTTTTTTTGTGTGGGCTCATTTCAAAAGAAAAAAAAACCCTATAAATATGTTAAGTACTGCAGGGGAATAAATTCCTTGTCTCCCTGTTACTTCTGAACCAGTTGAATTAGTGTTGTCTGCATGACATAATTTGGTGAGGTAAGCAGGATCTATCCAGGAATCGTATGTTGATTCTTTGAATATCCAAGTTATAATAATTATAAGGATTTAAAATTTGAAAACCTTAAACATGTCATTAATTATTGCATAGAAAATATTCTTTTGAAATGTAAGCATGTTGATTCTAAGTGATCTGTTGATTGAGGACGGNCAAGACTTGTCATGTGAAACAATGCTGCGGACAAGCACCAAGACTTGTCATGTGAAACAATGCTGCGGACAAGCACCAAGACTTGTCATGTGAAACAATGCTGCGGACAAGCACCAAGACTTGTCATGTGAAACAATGCTGCGGACAAGCACCAAGACTTGTCATGTGAAACAATGCTGCGGACAAGCACCAAGACTTGTCATGTGAAACAATGCTGCGGACAAGCACCAAGACTTGTCATGTGAAACAATGCTGCGGACAAGCACCAAGACTTGTCATGTGAAACAATGCTGCGGACAAGCACCAAGACTTGTCATGTGAAACAATGCTGCGGACAAGCACCAAGACTTGTCATGTGAAACAATGCTGCGGACAAGCACCAAGACTTGTCATGTGAAACAATGCTGCGGACAAGCACCAAGACTTGTCATGTGAAACAATGCTGCGGACAAGCACCAAGACTTGTCATGTGAAACAATGCTGCGGACAAGCACCAAGACTTGTCATGTGAAACAATGCTGCGGACAAGCACCAAGACTTGTCATGTGAAACAATGCTGCGGACAAGCACCAAGACTTGTCATGTGAAACAATGCTGCGGACAAGCACCAAGACTTGTCATGTGAAACAATGCTGCGGACAAGCACCAAGACTTGTCATGTGAAACAATGCTGCGGACAAGCACCAAGACTTGTCATGTGAAACAATGCTGCGGACAAGCACCAAGACTTGTCATGTGAAACAATGCTGCGGACAAGCACCAAGACTTGTCATGTGAAACAATGCTGCGGACAAGCACCAAGACTTGTCATGTGAAACAATGCTGCGGACAAGCACCAAGACTTGTCATGTGAAACAATGCTGCGGACAAGCACCAAGACTTGTCATGTGAAACAATGCTGCGGACAAGCACCAAGACTTGTCATGTGAAACAATGCTGCGGACAAGCACCAAGACTTGTCATGTGAAACAATGCTGCGGACAAGCACCAAGACTTGTCATGTGAAACAATGCTGCGGACAAGCACCAAGACTTGTCATGTGAAACAATGCTGCGGACAAGCACCAAGACTTGTCATGTGAAACAATGCTGCGGACAAGCACCAAGACTTGTCATGTGAAACAATGCTGCGGACAAGCACCAAGACTTGTCATATTCTGTCGTCTTGTGATGAGGGCCAGGTATCCATTTCGTCTTTACTCGATTTATCGGCAGCTTTCGATACGCTTGACCACGGCATACTGCTCCAGCGTCTGCAAAAAACATTCGGTCTCACCGATACCGTCCTGAGATGGGTTCACTCGTATATGACAAATCGGGTCCAGTCAGTTATTTCAAACGGCTTGACCTCGAAGCAATCTAATAATTGAATTCGGAGTACCCCAGGGCTCGGTCCTAGGCCCGGTGCTTTTCACTATGTACTTTCAGCCACTGGGTGCAGTGATCAAGCAGTTTGACATGCTGTATCACATGTTCGCGGACGATACACAACGTCATCATTCCGTGCTCCCCTCTCAGTTCCCTCAACTTCTTAATATGACACAGAAGACAGTGGAGTCAGTTAAGCACTGGATGACCATAAACAAGCTCAAATTGAATGATGAAAAGACTGAGCTGATCCCCATTGCAGCTGCTCAGAAACAAGAATCTGTAAAAAAAAAAAAACACATCGCTTACTCTCTCAGGTATGCAGATTGAGCTTGCTCAAACAGTGTGAAACCTGGGTGTCTTCTTAGACAGATGCTCAAACAGTGTGAAACCTGGGTGTCTTCTTAGACAGAACAATAACTATGGAAAATCACATTAACATGCTTTGCAAGGCGATTTTTCTAGAGCTGCGCAGGATTAGTCATATCAGACCTTTCTTAACGTTCGAAGCATCAAAGAGGCTGATTGATGTCTGCATTCGTGTTATCACGCATGGACTACTGCAATGCTCCCATGGTGGGTCTCCCAGCTACGCTCCTGGATAAAATTGAAAGAGCACAGAATAATGCGGCTCGCATTGTTCTTCGCAAACGCAAATTCGACCCTGCTAAAACACTTCTGAGAGAGCTGCACTGGCTGCTGGTCTACAAAATACAAATAATTGGTTCACTCGCGACCTATAATAAACTCCACCTAGTGTCTTATTGACTGACATTTCAAAAGTCTCACGCCTGATTGTTATTCCTTACAGTAAAATAAATAATATTAAACAAAACATAATGTTATTTAAGGGAACTAACATCAAATTCAGTTTTGATTTTTAAATACTTTAAAACAGTTTATTTCGGAAAGTAAAAAAATGGATTTTTTTTTATGTAGCACTGAATTGTCATCACAGAAAGTTGTTGTATGTGGCACTGAATGGCCACCACAGAAAGTTGTATGTAGCACTGGATGGCCATCGCAGAAAGTTGTATGTGGCACTAAATGGCCATCACAGAAAGTTGTATGTAGCACTGGATGCCCATCGCAGAAAGTTGTATGTGGCACTGGATGGCCATCGCAGAAAGTTGTATTTGGCACTGAATGGCCATCACAGAAAGTTGTTGTATGTGGCACTGGATAGCCATCCCAGAAAGTTGTATGTGGCACTGGATGGCCATCGCAGAAAGTTGTATTTGGCACTGAATGGCCATCACAGAAAGTTGTTGTATGTGGCACTGGATGGCCATCGCAGAAAGTTGTATGTAGCACTGGATGGCCATCGCAGAAAGTTGTATGTGGCACTGGGTGGGCATCACAGAAAGTTGTTGTATGTAGCACTGGATGGCCATGGCAGAAAGTAGAAGCAAAAGTCTGAAAAAATGCTCCACCCAGTTATCTCCGTGCCGGATTAAGATCTGTGAAGGACCCTAGGCAGTCAAGATTGTGCCATCCTGTGGCGTACCTAGGGGTCAAAGGGGGGAGTTTGCCCCGGGAGGCTAGTGGAATAATTATCCAATCGATTTGTATGTGTGGGTTGGCGAATTTTGGGAATTCGCCTCATTCAAGTTATCCTATTAATCATGACACCCCCCCCCCACCCAAAAAACAAAAAAACAAAAAAAAAACAAAACAAAACAACACAAAGCAACACTTCAATCACCTTGAGTTCAAATAATCTGATTACACAAATCTTGGGTTGGCGAATTTTGGGAATTCGCCTCATTAAAGTTATCCTAATAAACATGACACCCCCCCCCCCACCCAAAAAACAAAAAAACAAAAAAAAAACAAAACAAAACAACACAAAGCAACACTTCAATCACCTTGAGTTCAAATAATCTGATTACACAAATCAATCAATCACGACCGAAATATGTAAAGCTCTGTTTGTTTCAAATTTGTGCAAAATGTGGTTCCTTATTCAATGACACAATAAGCTGACAGTTAGTTATTATTCTGTTAATTAGACTCTCATCAAATGGCACCAGTCTCTCAAAAATGCTTCATTCTATAGAGATGTTAATGGTTAATAAATATGACTTTAATTTTATTGTTTGTCTCATGATTTTCAGTCAGTGTCACGTTGTAAGATGATCTGTGACCTGACTGTCACGTTGTAAGATGATCTGTGACTTGACTGTCACGTTGTAGGATGATCTGTGACCTGACTGTCACGTTGAAATTTGATCTGTGACCTGACGTTGTAGGATGATCTGTGACCCAACGGCTGTCACGTTGTAAGATAATCTGTGACCTTACTGTCACGTTGTAAAAAAATATGTTACCTGACTGTCCGTTGAAGGATGATCTGTGACCTGACTGTTACGTTGTAAGATAATCTAATATGTGACCTGACTGTCACATTGTAAGATGTTCTGTGACCCGACTGTCACGTTGTTAGATGATTTGTGACTAGACGTCGCCATACCGGTTCGTTTTACCATAGCCGGTATTTTCGATGTTGAAGTTTATGAATACCGGAATCCCGGTATTTTCGATAGTATCGATATTT